AGGGAACAGAGACAGGGATCAGAAAGACCCGATTTCCAGTCCAAAGTCTGCACGTCACTCGATTTGACAGTTACCGTATTAATACAGGTGATAAAATCTAATTATGATTCTTGGGAAAACTAAATGAAATAACGTATGCCACTAGCATAGGTCTAAAATCCTCCATGAGTATTCCAGAAATGGACGTGATCGTGGTTAGTTACTGTCTGCCAAGTCTTGGGTGCTAAGACCACATCAGCCAGCCAGAGATGTGACGGAGAATGCCTCACCAGCCAGCAGCCTTCTCCAACTTGGAAACTCATAGTATCTGAAGAACAGGCAGTGGTGGATGCTTTGGGACACTCTGGAGGTAGCACTCCAGTGATGACATTAAAAAGCTGTGGAGAATTTAGAGGACCATGCAGTTCAAATACAGAATACACATTCCATGTCTACCCACATTGATCTCTAGCTATGATGATTCAGAGAGGAAATACATATTCAAACTTACAACAATTTCCCACATAAGTGCATCAAAACTATTTGGAAAGAATGTAACTTTCTTTAGATCACAAAGCGGGGATTACAAGGTTTGTTCTAAGAGCCCTACTTGTAAAACATCTGCTAACATAACTGGGTCCACTATCAGTCATCAACATTCGAAGAGAAGGATGGAAAAGAACAAAGCCAAGCTAATATACTCCAGTCTTTTGTTGGGTTACGATGTCACAGAGGAGATGGACAAGTCATCAAGGAGCCACTCTGCCGTGATCACGGAGCCGGGGAACGGGATGGGCGGCAAGATGTATGACGCAGCTGCAGCTGTGCCCACGCTTCTAGGCAGGTACCCAAAGTCACCTCGACAAGGTGTCAAACGCTTGTGCCCACGTCATCATCACCTGACATGTATTAAAGAGAAATGAAAACCTATAAACGGCCAATACCCTTGGTGGGTACACTGTCCAAAGAGCAATGTCACAGTTTGACAACTGACCATCTCAGTTCCCTGGGATTCATTCTTGGAGAACCTTAAAAACCACTCCTCTGTCCTCAAGAAGTGCTGCCTACTTGCCCTATATTTGGCTCAGGGATACAGCACGTTCACGTGGT